TAGAGTACGCATATTTAAATAGACACATCTAAATATTAAAATTAACTTTAGTTATGTACATTTGGAGCAAAGTGTTGACATTTGAATATTTAATGAAAGGACCCTACCAAAATAAAAGTGGGGTGAAGTGATAACGTCCATAAGTCATGTGCTGGCAGAGCCAGACCATAATAACCAGAGATCTGATGGACTCGCATCATGGTGAACGGACGGGATCTCTGCCTTGGTAAGCTGCTTCCATTCAGCAGTCTGGCTAGTTGTTTCGTTTCAGGCGGAAACCGATTTATTCTCATCAACATTTAGGTGTAATTAAGTGTTTATAGACACTTAGATTTGATGCGTAAACATGTAATAACGTCTTAAGAAAATGTGGTAAAAATTCACTTTAGCTTTATTAAATGTTGCCAAATAGCTGATGATCGTGTTTATACTGAGCCCTCGTGTCAGGACCAGGAGAAACAGGTGCTTGTGCGGATCATGAGGATGGTGCTGAGGCTGCGCTCTCCGGAATCTGAGGACCAATCAGAGCGCGTGCCAGACTTCATCTGTGGCTGTAACACCTCCTGGGCTCTAGTCTCTGAGCTCAACGTGTTTCTTGCGGGTCCCGAGGACGGGATGGTTGTGGACTCGGAGCATCACCCCTGCGGACCGCAGGTCTCCCCTCTGCAGCTCTTCTAGACGCCATGCCGCGCTGCTGCAGCCTGCCGCTGCTCCTGCTCCTCTTGGCGCTGTGTGCGGACTGCCGCAGACACCGGAGCCGGAAGAGGCGCTGGTCTGCTCCTGCGGACACCTACAGGTCTGGCACGTGAGTCTTCTTTATTCAGTTAGAGGAGCATGTGTCACCATGCTCTGCTGCTCCAGTAACTCCAGCCCGGCGCGCGCCGGACTGACGTCATTTAAACAGATCCTAGATCAAACGTCTGTCTCCTCCCGACTCCTCAGCGGAACCCGCGGTTCTCCTGCCGTCCGGAGGTCAGGAGACTTTTCTTTATGCGGTCTTGTTTTTCCTTGCATTAGCAGAGCTGAATGTCAGACCAGGAACTACACGGAGCCCTCTGGGGCGGCTAATACCTGCAGTTATTAAGCTGCTACCCAGAACCAGCGGCTCTGCAGGGGAACAGCTGATCCTCAAGTCCGCTGGAAAGCAGCTCTAATGTGAAAATACCGTAATGCAGCGAAACCGGGCGCACTAGCTAAACGCGGGTTGTGACGGTGCTGGAGAGTGCGCCTCTGACCCGGATAACCCTTGCGTGTGTGTGTGTGTGCGCGCGCGCGCGCGTGTGTGTGAAACATGGGTGTTTTCTGAGGTGAGTTGGCTATAGCCAACAAAGCAGCTACCAGTGCTTCACACAGAACCAACGTCAACATTAACGTCAACGCTCAGGACAATCCAGACTCTTCTCATGCATCGTTCCACAAATGTGGAATGACCTTCCAAGCACTACCAGAACAGGGGCTTCCTTTTTGATTTTCAAGAAACTCCTGAAGACCCTGCTCTTCAGAGAGCATCTTCTAAACTAGCACCCTCCCTGCACCCGTCCCCCCTCCCTACTGTCCTCTCCTTGTTCCCTCCTCTCCATGACTGATGTCAAGTTGTTGTTGTTGTTGTTGTTGTTGTTAGCCTCAAGGGCAACATGCCGATTATCACTTGTAAGTCTCTTTGGACAAAAGCGTCTGCTAAACACATAAACATAAACAAATGCAGATATTTAAACAAATAATAAATATTAAAGTGATCTTGGGAGGCTCCTCTAAATCTGAAGCCATTTGGAAAAGGGTAGAATGCCTTCTCCGGATCAGGGATGAGGTCCTTCCCCAAGTGGAGGAGTTTAAGTATCTCGGGGTCTTGTTCACGAGTGAGGGAAAGCGTCTGAATCTTCATGTGTAAATAGAGTCAGGAGTCAGCATCGTGTACGTTAATGTCAGCGAGATCTTCTCCAGCGTGATGACTGATGTTTCACATTCAGCAAGGCCAACCCGCCTGAGAACTCAGAAGACTTAAATATATTTTATACGTTCACTTTGAAGGTAGCTGCACAGTGGTACCGTGGTTAGTGCTGCTGCCTTGCTGCAAGGAGGTCCTGCGTTCCAATCCTGGTCTGCATGAACCTTGCACGTGTCTCCTGTAGTCTCTGGGTTCTCCAGATCCCACCCAGATGTGACTGATTGGTTAAATGGCCTTCTAGTGTGTGTGAGGGTTACACCAGGGTCAGAGTTCATCATGAGGGTTACACCAGGGTCAGAGTTCATCATGAGGGTTTATGTGGAGTATAACTTATAAATGAGGCCCGCGCTCAGAGAAGGATTTGTTGGAAATAGAACAAGTAATGAACACTGACCCAGATGTGTCGGTCTTCACAGCTGGAAGGGAGGGTTAGGTGGTGAACATCTGCTGGGTTCCTGGTGATCACTGGTGTTAACACACTTAGAAGCACAAAGCACACAGAGGTTGTCCTTCTCATGAACAGAGAAACACGGGATAATTGAGGGTATTCCAGAAAGTGAGATTTTCCCAAAACCAGGCTTTCCCGGTGTTATCGCCTCTACATCGGTTTACGAACGTGGCTAGCCCGAAGCCCCTCCCATTCACCATGGCAACATATGCTGGAGAACACACCTGCCCCATAGCAGGCTAGCTGCTAGCCTACAGAAGCTATGTGAATATGATTGGACGCGGCAAGTGACGTCATCTTTTTCTTGAGGGTGGCTGGCGGCTACGAGGAGGGGAATTAGCGCCACCGCTGGCCCACAGCAGTAGCAGCAGCTGCAGCTTTGTTCTTGATGAATAAATTATTAGTAAATGTGAAGTTTGAACTCTTAAAAATGAGCTCTAATTGGATTTACATCTTAATATTTTTGTATTTAATCCCCATTTGCAGCTCCTGACGTCAGCATCATTATTAGGTCATTATAAATCAGCCTTAGGGTGGGATGGGCCCATATCATTAACACGCTGTCCTCTTTATGAATGTTAAAATAGCCGTAAAGTAGCTTGCAGCTGCTAACATGTAAAAGAAATACTTTATTGACGTGACTGGATATTTACTCTGGTCACACGTGTCAAACGTGATGTTTTCCCTTGGTGTGTACTATGTGTGCTAAATGTGTATTTGTGACAAACTGAGCGGCGTCTCCGGTGGAGTGTCAGTGCTCCTGCCTGGCTCGCCATAACGTAGTGAAATTGATTTACACTTTCTTTTAATTATGACCAATAAGGTGTGATGATTCCATGTGAACATGAAACATCAACCTGACTGATGTTTGAATGTTTAACCAGAAGATTATCGTTACTTTTACTTCTTCAGGGACCATAAAACACTTCTTAATTCAGACAGAGTCAGATATATAGTTTATAAAATGAATTCATTTCTTTTTGCTAAACTAGTGATTATACATGACCAGATATGAATAATGAGATTTAATGTAGTGGGTGTGAAGTGATGCCATGTGATGTGTGGATGTGGTAATGGAAGCTAGATGTTTAGTATCTGTGAGAATTTTTGAAGTCTGGGTTGAAAAAACTTTGGATGTTTGTTTGATGAGCTAAAGATTTATTTTTAAAAATCATCCGACGCAATCTGTTGAGCCTACAGTACCCTTTTGTGGAGATCCCCGTGGCTGTGCAGTGGTGCAGTGGTTAGAGCTGTTGCCTTGCTGCAAGAAGGTCCTGGGTTCGCTTCCTGGCCTGTGCATGCGTGGGTTCTCTCCGGGTTCTCCGGCTTCCTCCCACAGTCCAAAAACATGACTGTTAGGTTAACTGGTCTGTCTAAATTGTCCTTAGGTGAGTGTGTGTGATTGTTTGTCCTGTGTGTCTCTGTGTTGCCCTGCGATGGACTGGCTCTCTGTCGAGGGTGTACCCCGCCGGATTGCCCGTTGACTGCCGGAGATAGCCCCCCCCCCCCCCCCCCCCCCCCGCAAGCCTGCATGGACAAGCAGGTTCAGAAAATGGATGGATGGATGGATGGATGGAGATCCCCGTCCAGATCCAGGGCGTCACGAGGTCGGGATGGACACAGTCCTCGAAGTACCAGGAGCCCATAGATTTACTCCGATACGACTCGTCTAGTCTTGAGATATCTCCAGGTCACGGCAGGAGGCTGGAATGCTTCTTTGCATCCACGGCTTCTTGTTTGGCTCTTAGAAGAACTGTCTGGGCTGTATCAGCCGCAGCGTTGCAGAGAGACTTTGACTGGAGGTCAAAAGAGATGGGACGGCGTTAGGCCCGGCTACTTGGGCTCAAGCCCCGGATGTTTTATGAAAAGCCCCGGATCTAAATCGTGGAAGTAACATGCAGTACCAAAGTCCAACAGAGAGGGAGCAGCTGGCAGTAGTTTGTATACAGCCTGCCTGAGCCTCCACCACTGAAGAAGAAGCCCTTCAGCAGCAGGCTTCTTCTACACTCTCTGCCTGAAACGCATGAGTGAAGATGGACATAAGGACGTTTTTTAGACCAAAAGTACGGCGACAGAACCCCAGCTTTGATGAGACTGGTGTTGACTCAGGTTTGTGAGTCTTATTAGAAAATATTTGTTGTGCTGCTGGTTAGCCTAAAGTTAGCTTACTATCAGGTAAAGTTGTTGGAGAAAGAACGGGAATATTTACTATCATCTCACACTAAACACTAACAGGAACAACACTCTGCCCTGAATATGCTTCATATGTAGCTTCAGATTAAAATTATGTGGTACAAGACATGTATGTTGTTGACTAGTGCGTGTCACGTGTGTGTGTGTGTTAAGCCCCGGATCTTCCTCAGTCCTAAATCCGCCCCTGGTTTCAAAGATGCTTGTTCCCAAATTGGCCGGTTCCAGAGTCAGCTAGAAACTGAATTAATCGCGAAGTAATTCTTGTTTTATTGAACTCGTTGTTTATAAATTTTGACAAATCAGAATTTGACGAGTCTGAGGCTTTACCAAACCTTCCGCCAGAAAGCCACGCCTCCTTCAGATACAAAGGTGTTTAACTCTGTGAATGAGAGTGTTTTAAAAGTCTTATATGAAGCAAATATTAACATTAATAAGTATCTCATTGTAATGTGTATGGGTGTAGATATTGATTATCTTGTTATATCAAACACACACTGATCATAAGATCTGAAATGGATCATTGCAGGAGCAATATTCCTTTTAAAGCCATCATTGGTTAAAGCACAGATGATTCAAACATCTGATATAAACATCTTGTTCATTCAACACAAATGATTATTTAAACTTGTGAGTTGTAACGTCCTGTAGGAGCTTGATCTTCTTTAGGGTGAGGCACGCAGCCGTCAGGCTCCTGCAGCAGACCTGGCATGAGAATGTTCTGACTTCTTGCAGTAGCAGGAACTGTGGCAGAGGTTTGTTTTGGGAGTTGGAGGCCAGACAGATGAAAGGTTGTGGTCAGGTGAAGGTAGGCCACTTGGTATGAGTTAACTCTAGGGTCATGTGACCACCAACGTAAAAACTCAGCTGCTCAGCAAAAACGACACATAAATGATGAAAACTTTAATGAAATATGTGGAGAAACATGAGCTGAAGCGGACTTTCAGCGTTGCCATGGAAACGTGTGAATGCTAACTAAATAACTCCACAGCTTTAATCAAACAGCTCATCGTCTCTGTCGTAGTTCTGATACCTTTGTAGTCCTCGTAGGCATGACTGAATAATTATTTGTCCGTCTGGGAGAAGGACAAGGCTCTGTCCTTGTCTTCCTGGAATACCCCTGGAATACGGAAAATCCTGGGCCCTCATGCATCCGTACTTACGAACAGATCTGTGCGTGTGTTGTGCGTAGGAACCCATTTTCATCATTCTGTACCTGTCCTGTTCCTAAACATAAGAACACTTGGTGGAGCGTGCGTGCGAGAGGCCACCGCGTGTTTCATAAATCAGGATTTTGACCGTTTGTACGAATCTTCTAAATTTTTTATCATAGGAAGGAATTTAGGGATGTTTCTATGAATGTTTGATGAACGAGGCCCCGGGTTTGGAGGCAGGAACAGGGTTGTCATAGCGGTGGGTGTGTAGTTAATTCATCCTCGACGTGTCCTTGTGAGATTTATGCCGTTTGTTTTCTGTTTTAAAGCCATTGTGTACATCTGTAACAGGCTGAGACCTTCACGTGAGAAGAAAGGGAATGTGGTGAACAACCATAACCCCGAGTCGTGGGCATCATGGTGGATTCTGAACCCTCACAACAACCCTCAGATACTTCAGTGGAAACACCTGCTTAAACAAACTCAATGCACCCTAGCCCTAACCCTCTGGGACTAAAGGCTGAGCAGGCTCCATCTGAAAGGTGGTCTTTCCTGTCTCCCATCAGCCGTTGTGACAGACGAGGAAACGTTTGGCTCACGGACAAACCTCCTTTGTCTCAGCAGCAGAACCACCTGAGGCCCTCAAAGGGGATTTAAGGAAAAGCACCAGTCCTACGGCACGGAGAGATACGGTCGGTGAAAGAAGACAAGAATACCTCCACTTGCATGTCTACTAGCCTCTACTGGAGGATCTGTAGGAGGAAGAGGATTTAAACACTTCTAAAGTCCGAGTGACATCATCAGCTGTAGAAAATACTACAACTTCATCTGGGATCGTATAAAACCATCAAAGAGAACACCAGTTCAGTCATGAAAGTGCAGCTGCGACCCATTTAAATGTTTGAGGTCTACCTGAGTTAGAAGGGGCGGGGCTTCCTCCGTCTGTACCTGTATGGGGAGCCTAGTCTCCTCCCCTCCGGTCGGCTCAGGGGTCCCTGGAAGAACGAAAACATGGATGCGAGTCAAAGAGGCTAAAAGAGCTGTTTTCTTCTGCTTCGCCTTACACCCTGGTCCACAGAGCCCAGCATGAGCGGCACACCCCTTAAAAAGTACTCATTAAACCAGCAGCTCAACCAGCCTTGAGAACAATCCAGAACGTTCTCCAGGCTGGTTTTATCTAACACGTGTTTAACTCCATAACATCACATTAAGGTTATAAAATAACTTGGAGCACAAAATCTTCACTTTTACTAAATACGGTGGAAGCAAAAAGGGATCCACCCCACAACAAGAACTACTACATCTAGTATTGGTATGAGCACCGTGACTCGAGCACAGCACCAAGTCTTCTAGACATGGAACGGACAAGATGGCGACTTATTGCATCATCTGTCTGTTTCCATTCTTCAAGAAGGACCTCCTTTAGAGCCAGGATGCTGGATGGAGAGTGATGCTCTTCCTGCTGCTTCAGAATTCCCCACAGGTGTTGGACTGGGTTCAGATCAGGAGACACACTTGATCATTCAATCACCTTCACCCCGTTCTTCTTCAGAGACGCAGCAGTAGCTTCAGACGTGTGTTTGGATCTTTGTCCTGTTGGAAAAGTGCACGACGACCAAGTGCACGGAGCGATGGCAGCATCCTCTCCTTCAGTATGGAGCAGGACATTGTTGAGTACCATCAATGAAATGCAGCTTCCCAACACCAGGAGCCCTCATGCAGCCCACATAAGGGCACTGCCACCACCATGCTTCACTGTGTGATGCTCCTTGACATATTTTCCCACAAAACCTAAAGTTAGTCCCTTTGACTTGCATTAATTTTTGTTCTTCCGGGGACGGATGGTCCGGAAGTGGATGGGTGTGGCTTAGACCTGTTCTTGTCCCTTTAACAGCCGTCTCTGTGTTTGCAGGGCCCTGGCTGATGCAGCTGACACCGTGGTTCTGGTGGGGTCTGAGCCTGGAATGGTGAACGGGTGTGTAGGACTCATGTTTCTGTCAGCCCTTTGGCACAGTACACACCAACAAACTATTCATTTGTGTTGTTTAAAATTAGAACTCTGTCTGTCACGGGTTCAGCTCTTCACATCCGTCAAACTTTCATTTTTTAATAAACATTTAGTGACACATTCTGACTGTAGCTAACTGTAGCTGGGTCCAGCGTCCCTGATAACTCCTAATGAGTCTCATCACCGTGGACGACTTCTGTTCCGCTCTTCGTCTGAGTTCAGACACGTCAGGGGTTTTTCCTGCAAGAACGATCTGTTTAAGGTCAAAGGTCAGACGTTCTCCTCAGGATATTCTGCTAGAAAGCAGAATTTATAGCACCCCGACCATCACACTACCACCACCATGTCTGACTCCAGATGGAATGGGACACGTTCCTTCCCCACGTTGCTTCTGCACCACACAATAGTTAGCCAGAAGGCCGTGGGGTCATCAGCGTGGGTTCTGTTATACACGAGACACGGTCATTCTGCTGCAGCAGACCGGTTCCAGAAGATTCCCCAGCATTGACTCCATCCTAACCTGGAACGCTGGCTACAAGCAGCACGTTTGTCTCTCACCTTTATCTGAGGGTCAGGCTACACTCTGCAGCAAGTTTCTGACACATATGAACAGAAATGTTTGTTTTTTTCAGGCTTCTGTCAAAGAAGGTTATGGATGGCACCAAAAACCAAAAGCTGAAGACCAGCCACCTCCTACGCATCGACGAGCATGACTTCACCATGAGGCCAGCCTTCGCAGGTATGCTCTATACTCTTCTGAGAAACACAGGGCCGGATCCAAACATCTGAGTCAGGGGGGCCATGTTGTTATCTGGGGGCGGGGCCCCTGATTCTGTAGGAGGTTAGACGAGCACCTTTCAGAAGAAGGCTCACTTTTATTCTGTGGTGTCTTCTGGTGACGTTTCTAAGCTTTGCTTTTAGATGATTAACTCCTTTTGAAGCTGCACTTTTATGTCTGTTCAGACATGCCTGCACATCTGGTGGTAATATTTAACATCATTATTATTACTTGGAGCTGAACGTGGTTCTTTCTGCGCCTCACAGGAAACATTCCTGCTGTCTGGAGTTCGGCAGCCAGCTAAAAGTCCAAAGCTGTTTGTTTAGCTTCCCGCTCGAGCGCAGGAGGAGGTGGGAAGCTAACGGAAAAGTCCTGTTGTGAACTTCTAGCTAATCAGGGCCTACAGCTGCAGCCAGACTGCACCGAGCCTTTTCATGGTGTTTGCTGCTTGTCTGGGTGTGATCTTGTCTCAGAACAAGTGGGAAATGATGTGTTTGGTGTTAGGGCCATCAGAAGCGGACTTGTGTGAAGCTTCTTTTCAGCTAAGAGAGAAGTGTGAGCTTGCAGCAGCTGTTTCGGGTTATCTAAGCTTCAAACTTGTGAAAGCCTCTTACGTGATTGCTTCCTTGCGTTGACTGGAAGCTTTTAGAACAACTCAACCAAGAAACGTCTGAGTGATATTCTCACGTTCAGGAGAGAGCAGCCATGTGTGAAGGCACAAGCAGATAAAAAAGGACTATTGGACTTTTGTCTCTGTGGGAAGTCCTCCAGAGGGACGGGGGCTGTGTTTAGCAGCAGAGCTGTGGTGGTGGATAAGGTTATGACAGCAGTCTGGGATGAGCAGAAAGAGCTGTTTGGATGAAATATTTGTCATTAACTTGTGATTTTATAAATATATCTATTCATAGAGCTCCCCTCCCCGTGTGAATTGGCTTTAAAAACATCTAAGAGTGTGTATAAACTCGCCGTGCATTAGTTGCCTTTGCATTAAAGAGAAACTGAAGTCACTCTGATGAGCCTTCCATCAAATCCATTTCATCCGTTCCCTCTGGACTCTGGACTCTGTAATGCATAGGCCTGCCTGTCTGATCTCACCGGTCAACCAGCGGCGGATTTGCAGCTGCTAATCCATGAGCAGATGAGCATGGGATCATACGGGTGTTTGCTCCCTCTATTTTACAGAAATCATGAGGACAATTAAATCAGCTAAAGCTGAGCCGGACTGAGCAGACACAGAAAGGAGTCTCCTTCTAAATGTCACTCGTGTTCTGGACCCCATTTGTCCTGGTTAGGGTGACCGGAGGGGTCCGAATCCGGCTCTGAGGTCAAACTCCAGCAGCGCTGCGTGACAGTTGAACGTTATAAAGGTAGAGTCAGATTAAAAGTAATCTAGAGAACAGGTGAGGAGTTCAAACTGAATTAATAACACTGATGATTTGCCTCCAATCCTTTGGGTTAATGTGAAGTGTTGACCTCTGACCTCAACAGGGTTCTGTCTAAAAACGACTACAAGATATTAGAGACCAAAACAAGCAGAACTCACAAACCAGGCAGGGATCAGGCTGAAATGGATCCCATGGATGGGCAAACAGGTCCGGATCAAAGCACAGGATCCAAAGAGCTGCATTAGAATAGAATAGAATAGAATAGAATAGACTTTATTGATCCCATGGTGGGGAAATTCACTTGTTACAGCAGCACCAACAGCTAAGAGAATAATTTGAATAAAAATAACAACAAGGTACATGTACATACACATAGGCAGTAATCTAGTAATCTCATGTAACCTTCGACCACTAAAAACCACAAATAAAAAGGAAAATACTTCGGTTCCGACCCGATACGGAGCCTAAGTCACTTCCGGACCACGGGTCCCCTGAAGAATGAAAAAAAAAAAACGCTATTTTCTAATCCGCTCATTATGGATTTCACACATGATGTCCGTGAATTTTAAAGACTCATTTTGATACCAAGAACGTGCTTATTTTCAAACGGGGGAAACGCTATCATAGGTTTGGTGTGAACATAAGTCCAGGACTACAAATGCACTTCATGAACCAGACACGGAGGAAACTGAGGGAAAAAGGATGTAAGTTCAGCAAACTTCCCACAGGAGGAAGGAACCACCATAAATCTGGTCATGTAGTAAGTAGCAGCTACGCTAGTGGAGACGAGGTTATGTGGGGACATCACATATGCGACGAGCCCATCTCTAGTGTGTAGTCATGCTGACTACGAACTTTTACAAGCTGATAAATCTCAAAGTACGTGACTGGCGTGGTCGAAACACCCATCGTTACTTTTCATTTAAATTGCGGTACAACACGTGTGTGGTCCAGGGCGTGAGGCAGAGCGGGTTAGAAAACAGCGTTTTTAGCTTTGACCCGTTGACCTGCATTCATTTTTTCGCTCTTCCAGGGACCCGTGATGCGGAAGTAGACCTAGGCTCCCTATGCAGCATACTGCAATAGACACGGACATACTGTGTAAATCTGGTATTGCAGGAGTATTGAACACATAATGAGTATTGCATTGGTGGTATTGTGTACCAGGATCATGCCAGTACCAGTTAAACTGAGGAGGTCTACACTCGTACTGCAGAGGGGATGAAGGACCTACGGTAGCGTTCTGTTTTACATCTGGGATGTCTCAGTCTGCCTCTGAAGGAGCTGTCCATGGTCCCCACAGTGGAACCAGTGGGTGGGAGGGGATTTTTAGAGAGAGGTCATCTTCCCCAGCATCCTGCTTTCAAACGTCTCCTCCACTGAATCCAGCGGGCAGCTCAGAACCGAGCTAGCTTTGTGAACTAGCTTGTTAAGTCTCTTCCTGTCTCGGTCAGAGCTGCCTGCACCCCAACAGACCACAGCAGAGTGGATAACCCTCTGGAGACAGGCGTTGCCTACCTACCTGGTTACTCCACACATGTGTTTCATGAGCATTTTTTAACTCAGAAGTTCCTTTGAAGGACTTAGTTGTTCGTCCTTTTATCAAAACTTATTTTGAGCCTGAGAGGGTTAAAGGTCTGAAGGACCTCAGCCTCCTCAGGAGGTGGCTTTGGTCCTTATTATGCAGAGCATCTGTGTTGTTGGACCAGTTTGCTGTTGAGTTGAACACCCAGGTACTTAAAGGTATCCACCACCTCAATGTCTGCTCCCTGAATGTTTACTGGTGAGTGAGGAGGAGTGCTTCTCTGGAAGTCAGTCACCATTTCCTTTGTCTTACCGGTGTTCAAGCAAAGGTGGTTATGCTCACACCAGTCCACAAAGTCCATGATGACTGACCTGTACTCCAGGTCATTCCTCCCCCCAGACACACAGTCGACAATGGCCGAGTTATCAGAGAACTTCTGAAGGTGCCAGCTGCTGGTGTTGAAGGTGAAGAGAAAGGGTGAGAGCACCGTACCTTGTGGAGCTCCAGAACTGCACACAACCACCTCAGATGTACAGTTGTGTAGCCTCATGTACTGTGGCCTGTTGGTTTAAAGGAGCAATATGTAAAAATCCTACCATGAAATAATACCAAAACAGTCTAACGTCTCAGTCATGTTGGAAGGAAGGTTAAACTGAAACAGACTTCATTCTCATCTGGCTGGGGCTGTCAGTTTTTCTCCTTACAAAAAACAAAAGAGGGACGTAGTTACTGTTTACACTCTGAGTTTGTGAGGGTGCGGAGTCTGCCGCAAGCTAACGTAGCGGTGCTGACATTTGTAATTTAACACCAGTATGGAAAAAAGCTCCATAGTTGTTTACAGAATCTAATCCAGGAAACAGGATCACAGAAGATGCTTCTTGCACTCCTAACCCGCAGGTCATACCGGTCTTGTGGTCTCGTGAGTAAAACAAAGAGGATGGCGGACGTTTTGAGGGATTTTGTGATTTAGCAAGTCCAGCAAGGAGCCCAGCGAGGAAGCCGTTGTGAAATAGGAGTCAGAAGCTGCAACTTATTTTTGTGATACTCTGTCAAATCAAATCAAACTTTATTTTTAAGGCACTGTTTTCATACAGTGGTTGCAGCTCAAAGTGCCTTACAGTTTAAAATGACCCCACACCACCCTCATTCCCATCCCACGCTGCAAACGTTCTCCAAACCGGTAGATGAGGTGATTTTCAGACGACTCAACAGCAACACTGAAGTTTCACACAAAGCTACACAAACAACAAGACAGTGAGTGATGCTGCTTGGTGCTGGACGTTAGCGTTGTAGATCAGGCGCGGTTTCAGGGGAGGACAGCCAATAACGATCATCGTGGTCTACTAATGCATTCGTCTCAGTTAGGGACGTTTTTCTAACCAAGGGACAGAACTGCTGTTTCCTCAGAGACTCCAGTAATTAGGTCAAAATAAAACAAAGATGATAATTAGCAATTAGCTGGATCTCCACGCGTGTCTAATGTGCTTTTGTTTTGCCACTGTGCTGTTGGCAGTAATTCCTTTGTGAAGACTAAGATTCATCTGGAGAAGAGCCATGGCAGAACAATGACAGCAGCAGTAATCCTGCTGTGGATTCACTTTTCAGCTTTTCTCTGCTCTGCTGGTGCTCGCTGGCATTTGTGAGGAAACAGCAGCTCACACGGGCCTTCCTCAAACCAAAGTGATTCTGAGATCTTTCAGCAACCATCGGGATTTACAAAGAGCTTTGCTTTGATGCTCCAATGGGTTTTGTCTAAAAATCAAAGTCTCAAAGAAGGATTTGCAGTTAGGATGTGAGAGCACCTGGTTTAAGATCCTGGACGAGCCCCTATTTAGTAGCATGTTAGTGATGAAGAGGAGCGTTCACGCCCTCATACGGTTTCATTATCCAAAACCAAGTGTGCAGTGTAGAGCCACGCTTAGACACATTACCCGTGATGGCAGCCCAGAGAGGGGCCTGCAGAGAACAGGGTGAGACAGCTAAGCCCCCTCCCAGGGGGAGGTAGACCTCTAATGATCTTCTCAAAGATGAAAGGAAAGATGATGGTCAGC